GGGACTTGTTGGTGCTTCGCGGCTGGACAGCAGCCACCTGATCTCCGTCACTTGATGCTGGAGTGGCTGCTGGGTTATCTCCACTGTCCTGCTGGACTGCAGCGAAGTGCTGCTGTCGCGTACCAGTTCATACCTTCTCCACATAGGTCGGCTGCCATGATGTTGATTTCTCGTGTGCAGCTGACCTGTTGGTCTTGATGATCTCCCTTGCTTTGTCAATAATCTCAGCAAAGGTCGAGTACTGCTTGCGATCACCAAGAGCCTGGCTCAATGCAGCACAGGACCTGTTGTAGAACTCACGGCCTAGATGCTCAAATGGTAAGTTCAGATTGGGCACAGCCGCAATCTTCTGCCACTCCGTGAGCCAGTCCCGTGTTGCTGTGTTGCCCTGTGACATGGCGAACAGTCGGTTGATGGCGAGTGCTGGCGCGTCGTCGACGATGAACCGCTTCTTCCACAGCCGTGTCAGTTCTTCCCATGTGATCTTGTCCTTGAGGTCCGGTACGTTGACGCCGTGGGAGGTTGCCAGGTGGGTCAACCAGGTCTGGCATCCGCCCTTTGAGTTCAGGAACAGGGCGCCGATGTACTTGTGCTTAGCGACAGGCAGAATCCTGAGTTGAGTCGTGAATGCCTCCCACCAGAGGGTCGGATCCTGCTGCGTGTAGTCGTCGAACTTTTCTAGTTGGAAAGTTGGCATCTTCTGATTGCCATCTGCGTTCGTCGATTGCAGATGTTGGACCTCGGTCTTCAAGGTATGCAGCTGAGTGCTGATGGTGGACGGCGCAGCGAAGGTGTTAATGTCGCCGAGCATTGCCATGATGCGGTCAACGCGTTCCTCCAGTTGGCGGCTAGAGAGTGCACTGCTGGAAGCCCCAGCAGTTGGTCCTGGTACAGCCTGTTCCAGGTCCAGCAATCGGGCATTGAGTGCCCAAGTTGCATCCTCGTGGCTCTGCACTGTGCGGCGGAGCGTCGCCAACTCCTGATGCTGTTGCGTCAGGTCCTGGTACTGTCTCTCCAACTCTGACCGTTGGTAGTTGCAAGCATACAGCAACCGCGTCACGAGTTTGGAGAGGAACTCCTTGTACTTCTCTTCCGGTGTTGGATTGTCACCGTTCGGTTGAAAGTGCCAGAACTTGAGTCTGTCGATGCTGGTGGCTTCATGCCGCTGCAGCATATCCTGGGCTTCCTTGCGGCAAGCCTGGGTATCTGCATCTGCTTCGGCCTGTAGCCGCAGCTTCTCTGCTGCTGCCGCTTCGTCAGCCTGTAGCTGGGCAGCCTTGGCTGCCAGCTGGCGTTGCTCTTCAACCGCGATTAGTGCGAGCTGAGCTTCGAACCGCTGTCAGTATTCGGCAATGGATTCATTTGCCAGTTGGCCTGTCATGCCCAGAAGTGAGCCTGTCATGGTGGCGGGTCACTGCTGACGTGGCACTGCTGATCTGGCACTGTGACGTGGCACTGCTGACGTGGCACTGTGACTTGGCATTATGACATGGCACTGCTGATCTGGCACTGTGATGTGGCACTGCTGACGTGGCACTGTACCGAAACGGGATGCATGCAAGGCGTGGGTGGGAGGGAAAACGGAGGGAGGTAACCACCCAACAATATTTCCTCCGGCCCTAATCAACAGATAAACTAAAAAATAAAAAATAAAAAAGGATTACTTCCTCTTTTTTTTTTTTTTTGTATATATATGTCGATCTATGGTGAGTAGGATATGTCAGAAGAGTATTATGAACGAGATCTAGGCTAGGTGCCGCAAAGTTTTGGCTTTTACAAACTGCGATTTTGAATTTTTTTTTTTGCGAAATGAAGTAAAGATGCGATTTTCAGAACGAACGAAATCCAGTTTCTTAGAATATAGCAACCTCCGAATATGCCTAACGCAAAATTGGTAGGCTTCCCAAGATTCGGTTTTCAAAAAAAATTTGCGAGATAGAATGGAAATTCGATTTTCAGAAAAGAATAATTTCGGTTTCCGAGAATATGACCACTTTTATCATTATCCCAATCTGTATGTGAAATATCAGAGAAACGAAATGCTACTATCGGGAATTTTCAGACAAACGAAATGCGATTTATCAGAAATTTTCAGATATTTGTTACGTGAAAACGAAATACTAATATCAGAAATTTTCAGGTTTAACGAAATGCGAATATCAGAAAT